TTTTTTTTTTTTTCTAACAGTACTGGCAAATGAATTCAGGGCCTTTGCACTGAGTCACATCCCTAGCCCACCCACCCTGCTGAAAAAGTTTTACTCTGAGACAAGATCTCACTAAATACCCAGGCTGAGCTCCAATTTGAGACCCTCCTGTCTCAGCCTCCCAGAATGCTGAGGTTTACAGGCACGCACCAAGTCACCAAGCCTGGTTTCCTAACACACTGCTCGTATCTCTGTTTAACAAACTGCTGGAAATATAGAAGTGTGAAGCAACTATTGTTTATTATGATTGTCTCCCAGTCCTGGGAGGGAACTAGGCTCAATGGTGGCTCTTGCAGTGGTGGAGGGAGTCTTCATGCAGGTGTGATGGCTGGGGCTGGAGTCCGGGGGAAGGCTGCCTTGTGGTGGATGCAGACCATGGCCTGGACACCTACACATGACTTCCCTGTGTGGCCAGGGATGTCTCACAGCAGGCTAGCTGAGCTGCTGGGCAAGAGTCCCAGATAAAGCCATTGTCTTTTAAACCTGTCTCAAAAAAATATATTCTTGGCACACATCCATAGTCCCAGCACTCAGGAGGCTGAGGCAGGAGGATTGCTGTGAGTTTGAGGCCAACCTGGGCTACATAGTGAGTGCCAGGTCAGCCTCAACTATATAGTGAGACCCTGTCTCAAAAAAAACAAACAGAGAAAACAGTGGGGAGGGGGAGAGGGAGAAAAACATGTTTAGGTTCAATCATGGGAGATAAATTAGGCCCTTATTCAGACCAGAAAATCCTATGGGGGTTTTGTTGTTTTGTTTGATACAAGGCCTCACTCTGTAGTTCAGGTTGGGCTTGAACTCACTATGTAGCCCAAGCTGGCCCCAAACCTACAGTGATCCTCCTGCATCAGCCTCCCTAGAGCTAGGATTACACCATTCCTGGTTTGTATCCTGTTTTGAATCAGTGGTGAAAGTGCATGGTAGAGAAGCTGCTGGTGGAATTCTGCGCCTGAGTACTACGAGGAAGTCAGCCCAGGCCCTTACCTTAGGAGGGGCAGTTTCCTCATCTCTAAATGGTTTGTACTCCTTCCTACCTGCCTCTCTCCCTCTCTCTCTCTCTCTCTCTCTCTCTCTCTCTCTCTCACAGGATCTCAAGATGTAGATCAATTTGGCCTTGAACTCAGTGACCCTCCTGCTTCAGCCTTCTGAGTGTTAAGATTATGGGTGTGCACCACCACGCTCTACTTTTTTCTTTTTATTTTTTACCCCAAGCTTGCTGCTGCTTCTTCTCCTTCCCCTGCTTCTGCTTCTGCTTTTTTCTTTCTTCTCCTTCTTCTTCTTCTTTTTTTTTTTTTTTTTTTTCCCGGGTTTGAACTCTCAGGACCTTGCGCTTGCCGGGCAGACAAGGCACCACTGAGTACATCCCTGGCCCATTTTACTTTTACTCTCCCAGTCACCACCTCCATACACAAAAAGTTCAGCCAGGATAGTATTTTACAAGATTTTTCTAAGGGGTTTGTTTTGTTTGGTGTGGGGTTTTTGTTGTTTTGCGGGATGTTTTTGTTTTTTTTTTGGTTTTGGTTTGGTGTATGGGAAAAAGTTTCAAACAAGGCAGTAAAATTAGATGAATACTATCCTTGTAAAGCCTTTGTTTAGGTTCATTGGTTAGCATTTTGCCCTGTTCTTTTACTTTTTCTCTCTCTCTCTTTTTTTTTTTTTGGTACCAGGGATTGAATTGAAGATCTTGTGCTTTCAAGGCAGGCGTGGTGCCACTGAACTAAATCCCTGGCTCTCTATCTCTTCTTTCTATAGACAGATAGTATATGCATTTATATAGAATGCGTATTTCCAAAATACACATATAACATATATGCATATATTTCTCTTTCTGAGCCACGTAGGAGTAAGTTGTAGCTGACACACTTCTCTCCTGGGCTCCGCAGCAGCCATCTCTGAAGAAGATACTTGCAAAAGAGCCACTGTCATACCTAAGGAAACGCATTATCTTTCTCTTTCTTGTCATTCCGTATCCTCTCCAGATTCAGGTTTTTTCCAGTTGTCAGGAAATATCCCTTCACATTGCATCTACTTGGCATGTCCGTTTTTTGTTTTGTTTTTTCTGGTACCGGGTATCAAACTTGGGCCCATGCCTTGCAGGCGGTGAAACCACTGAGCTAAATCCCCGGCTCTGGCGTGTCACTTTTACTCTGAAACAATCTTCCTGTCTCTTCAGAAGTGTTTCTCATAACATTAACCGAGGCAAGTTTCTTTTTTTATTTCCTTTGAAATGAGATCTTGCTATGTTGCCCAGGCTGGTCTCAAATTCCTGAACTCAAATGATCCTTCTGCCTCAGCCTCCAGTGTGGCTGGGGACTACAGGTGTGCCTCAGTTCCTAGCTCTGGTGTCTATTTTTTTTTTTTAACTTGCCTGTATTTGTTACCTCTTAAAGCAGAACGTGACCTGGGCACTCCAATTCCAATTCTTCTGATGTCTTTAAATACTCCATCTTCCAGATTTTTCGGGTTCTTTTCCATGTGGGTAAAGGTGTGTGTTCCCTTCCTTCTCCCCTCGCATACCGGGGACTGAGCCCAGAACCTTCACACTGAGCTACATCCCCAATGTGTTTTGTTTTTATTCGTTTGTCCGTTGGTTGGTTGGTTTTTTCTGAGACAGAGTCTTGCTAAATTGCTCAACCTGGGCTTAAACTTTTGATCTTCCTGCCTCAGCCTCTCAAATTGCTGAGATTACAGATGTATGCCTAGCATGAGGCCCAGTTGAATATATGTTCCTTACTGCCTGTGATTCCAGGGAGTCCCACAAGGGATACTACATTTGATCCCCATGTTTAGTTAGTCTGAAACTTTTTTCTTTTTGGTGCTGGGGATCGAACTCAGGTCCTTGCACTTGCGAGGCAGGTGGTGGAACCACTAGGCCAAAACCCCGACCACCGTCACTTATTTTTAATGGTTTCAGTGGCTCCACCAACAGCCCTCTCAATAGCTAACTTGTGCCAGTTTTCACCTGCTAAAACCTAGTCAGGGCTGGGGTGTGGTTCAATGGTAAAATGTTTATCTAATGTGCACAAGGCCCTGGGTTCCATCCCCAGAACCACAAAGAATGAATAACAAAAGGAAAGAGAAGGGAAGGTGGAAGGGAGAGACAGACAGACCCCTACAGACTCCTCACATCCAACTGCCTAGAAAATGTGGACCCACACTTGGGACCTGTCCTTCAGTCCTCCCAGAGGGTTGCAGAAAGAAAGATCCATAATAAAGTTGAGCTTTTGCCCCTGGACCGTGACCCTTTGCAGCCCTAGGAGGTAAACGATGAGTTTGGTTTGCCTTTTGGTCAAATAGGTTAATCATGGGCAGCTAACCTCTGCTTTCTTTTGCACCGACATATTTTCTGTTTTCCTTTCTCAGAACATGCCTTTTCTTACTGAGTGTCTGCGTCCTGAGGGAAGGGACTAGGGTTTTGTCTCTAACTGGGTGCTGAGCACCAGCCTATGGTAGCTGATCCCGTCGCTGTAGCCAGATACCTGAGAAAAAAATCTTAGAAGAGGAAGCTTTGTTTGGACTCACAGCTTCCCGGGCTGCATCCCATGGTCACTTGGCTTCATTGCTTGTAGGTCTGCAGCAAAGCAGAAACTTTTGTTGTTGGTGGTGGTACCGGTGATCGAACTTGGGACCTTGTGCTTGAGAGGCAAGCAGCAGAACCACTGAGCTCAATGCCCAGCAGCAGGGCAGAAACTTTATCAGGGCAAAGAGTGCGATGCAGCAGTGCTGCTGGAAGCAGAGTGAGAGTCCGGAGAGAGGAAGGGACCAGGCATCAGATATAATCCCAGACTCACAGCTCACAATCCACACACCTTCAACTGTCTCCATTTCCTGTTTGCATCACCTCTCCATAAAGTCATCCAGTTACCACCCCACCCGAGGGTTCTTCCGTTAGATTAGCTCCCTCATGATCCAAACTCTTCAAAAAGCCAATTGATGGCAACTGAGGCTTCAACATGATGAGCTTTTGGGGGCCATTTCATTTATTTATTTTTGCCCATACTGGGGACTGAACTCAGAGCCTTTGCACTATGCTATGTCACCAGCCCATTTTTTAAATTTTTTTATGTTAAAGTAAGGTTTCCAGAAATCCCCAGGTTGTCTGGGTTTGAATTTGCAATCCTCCTGCCGCAGCCTCCCAGAAAGCCACCACACCTGGCCCCGAATGAGGGGAACACATTTTAGATAACTGCTATGACATTGAGGCAATAGGATTTCATATCACTCTTTTTTTTTTTTTTTTTTTTTTTTTTGAGACAGAGTCTCACTATGTAGCTGAGACTGACCTGGAACTCACCGTGTAGCCCAGGCTAGTCTCGAACCTGCAGCGATCCTCCTGCTTCAGCCTCCCCTGGGATTACAGGTGTCTGCCACCATACCTGGCAAGGCAATAGGATTTCAAATTCACATCCAGCCTGAGCCAATTAACAAGAGCCTTTTCAAAATAAAAACTAAAAAAGCCAGTTTGTGGTGGTGCACACCCATAATCCCAGCACTGACAAGACTGAGCCAGGAGGATATCAGGGAGTTCAAGGCCAGCCTGGACTACATAGTAAGTTCAAGACTAGCCTGAGCTACATAGCTAGACCCTGTCTCCAAAAAAGCTAAAATAGGGCTGACTCGCAAGAACCAGAGTTCGATCCCCAGTGGGGGCGGGTAGTTTGGGCTGGGGATTTAGCTCAGCGGTTCCACTGCCTACTTTGCAAGCACAAGGACCCAAGTTCAATCCCCGGTACCAAAAAAAAAGGCTAAAATAAATAAAAGTAAAGTAAGAAAGGGTCTGGGGGGCGGGGCATGGCTTAGTGTGAAGGCCCTAGGTTCAATCATCAGTACCACAAAAATAAAGAAAGAAAATATTAAAAGGGCTGGGGATATAGCTCCGTGCAAAAGCCTTGGGTTCAGTTTCTAGTACGGAGGGGACAAATGAAGGGTGTAGCAAGCCCTGGTCCAGGGGCATCCCCTTCCTCGCTGTTACGCTGCCTGGGTTAGTACCCTGAGACCATGTGTTAGGGGATGGGAAAGGGTACTGTTTCACTGGTCCCCTCTGTCTTTACCTTACAGGGGATCAGCCACTCACTGGGGCCTACACAGTGACCCTGGATGGACGAGGGCCCTCAAGGGTCATCTCCAAACATGACCTGGGCCATTTCATGCTGCGCTGCCTGACCACGGATGAGTACAATGGGCACAACACCTACCCCTCCCACCAGTATGACTAGGACAGCGTTCTGGAAGAGGAGGCACAAGGAAGGGAGCAATAAATCATGAGCTACAAGCTTCAGTTTTCTTACAGACCACGTGACTTTGGGGATTTCAGGGCCTGCGTACGATCTTCTGGGTACTCATTTGTTCAGCAGTGGTTTACTGAACCCTCTTCTGTGCCCAGCCCTGTGCTGCAAGCCCAGGGATGGCCAAGTGTGTCAGTCAGCTTCTCGTTGCTGTGAACAAAATACCTGAGAAAAACAACTTAGAAGACTAAGTTTTGGTTCACAGTTGCAGAGGGTTCCGTCTGTAGTCACCTGGCTCCATTGTTTCTAGTTTGGTGGCAAAGCAAAAACATGACAGAGGAAAACCTCCCACTTCGTGGCAGCTAGGAAGGGAGGGAGGGAAACAGGTCAGATTTAGTTCCCAGTGTCATAACCCCATGAGCCATTCTTTTCAACTGGGCCCCATCTCCCACTTCATCACCTAAGGTTATCAAATCGTGATCTCACCAGTGGATTAATCCATTTGTTGAAGTTAGAGCCCTTCATGATCCAATTGCTTTCCCAAAGGTCCATTAGCTGGCAACTGGGCCTTTAGTAGAGTGGGAGAGGCACCCTGAGAGTGACAACCCAGAGTGGCCAGCGCTCCGACGTGGACAGCAGGTAGGGCTGCGGTAGCCCACAGAGGGTACCTGACCCAGCCTGAGAGGCCTAAAGGCTCCGTGGGAGGAGGGTGTAAATTCAGTCTGAAAATTGGCTTCTGAAGAATGAGCCAAGAGGGCTTGGGAATTTAGCTTAGTGGCACCGTGCCTGCCTTGCACCCCCGGTACCACATACAAAAAAAAAGAATGACCCAAGAGAAGGTTCTAGGGCAGGATAGTGTTCCAGGCAGAAGAAACAACATGTACAGAAGCTAGGAAGCTTCAGTTTTTTTTACAGACCACCTGACTATGTGACTCTTCATCTCTGCTTCAGCACATAGCTTGTTTTTGTGTATGGGTGGGTTTTTTTCTTTCTTTTCACTGGTACTGGGGATTGAACCCAGAACCTTCACACTCGGCTATTTCCCCAACCCATTTTTTTATTTTGAAGCAGGATCTTGTTAAGTTTCCCAGGCTGGTGTCAAATTTGCTATCCTCCTGCCTCAGCCTCTCAGAAGGGGATTACCGATGTGTTCAACCACGCCCAGCATTTTATTGTTTGAGACGGGGTCTCGCTTTTAGAAACAAAAAAAAACCTCCAAAGCCTCACTAGTCCAGGCTGGTCTGGAACTCAATTTCTCCTCCCTGGGCCTCCCAGATGTGAGGCTAGGATTCCAGGCTCTGTGCCACTGCACCCAGCTCAGGTTTGTGGTTTATAAAGCTCCCCTCAACTACTGTGTAAAGGTGGATCAGAAGGAGATGAGTGAAAGCGGGGAGAGCTAGACCAAGGCAGGGGCCTTGGAGAGCACTGAGGGATGGGAGGGGTTGGAGGACCCCTCTGGAGCTTCATGGGCAGCCTGGAAAGGGGACACCGCATTCAGGAAGAAACCCAGGGCGAAACTCCATTAAGCCTCCTCCATCCTTGGCTGGGGTGTTGCTCAGTGGCAGAGCACTTACTTGCCTAGCATGTTTGAGGCCCTTGGTTCTGTCCCAGCACCACAAAAACAAAAACAGGAACTTCCTCTTACCAGTGGTAGATGGAGAAGCCATCACCCCTCCCCTTAGGGGTCATTTGTTATGGGGCTGAGGCTGGGCTTTGCTGGTGTGGCCTTTCATAACACCAGCAGTGTTTTATTTCTGCCTTCTCGATTTCCCTGCACCTTGAGCATTTCACCGACTTTCATTAAGTAACACCGTGGTAGGTGCTCTGAGAACAAGCAATAGGGGAGTAAGACAACCTGTCCTCAGTCCAGATTGTGACTGCCCCGGGAGGGTATGAGAGAGGCACCAGAACCACAGGAGCCTAGAATGAATCCTAAGGTTTCCAGGAGAAGGAAAGCCTTGGAGATATGTAGAGCAGCCTAGGAATTAAGGGGACATTTTCAGGATGAGGAAATAAGTTTAAGACCTGGCTCAGTTCATTCTCAGTTCTGAGTGCTTGCTATGGACCTGGCCATGTTATATTTTGTTTTGGTTTGGTTTTGGTTTTTTGAGACAGGGTCCCACTATGTAGCTGAGACTGACCTGGAACTCACCATGTAGCCCAGGCTGGTCTCGAACTCACAACGATCCTCCCGCCTCAGCCTCCTGAGTGCTGGGATTACAGGCGTGTGCCACCACGCCCAGTTCTGGCCGTGTTTTAAACCTGAGGATAAGGCAATGAAGAAAACATTTTGGTGTTCCTTGGGAGGGGGTGGGGCTTTAGAATGCTTGTTTATTTGTTTAAAACAATCACTTTGTAGCCCAGGCTGGCCTCAGATCCTCCTGCCCCAGCCTCCTGAGCGATGGGATTACAAGTGCGTAGCACCACGCCCAGCTATGTGTGGAGTAGATTTAGAAAAAATAAAAATAGAGCCACGGCTGTAATACCAGCGCTGGGGAGGCTGAGGCAGGGGGGTCACAGAGAGTTTGAGACCAGTTTAGGCTCCATAGTGAGTTAAAAGCCAGCCTGAACTACAGATACTGGCTCAAAAAGAAAAAGCAAAGAGAGCGTGAGGGGTCAGATCTTTAAGGGTTTTGTGGCAAAAGTAGAGTTTGGACAAAGACTGTCCGCTCTAAGAGTGGGAGGATGGGGTGTCGGGGGACCCAGAAAGGGTCACCCTAAGGCGTCTTGACTAGCCTTCAGCATTAACAAGGGGCCCCGCCTTCTTAAGGGGAGGCGGGGTCGGGGCTGCAGTCTCCAGGCAACGTAGACCGCGCCAAACAATTGGATAACCTTTATAGATGCGTCACCCTCTCGGAGCCCCGGGGCGGAGCCTCCTTTAGGGGCTCAGCACCTCACACCAGGGGAGCAGTTTGGGGGAAGAGATGCAAGCCAGCGGGTCCTGCTTCACGAACCGGTCTAAACCTGGTATAAGAACCCAGAAAGCAGGCCAGACGAAGTCTGAAAGAGGACTGTAGCGGAGCCAAAGGAAGAATTACTGACCGCCTTCCACTCTGGCCCCGAACGAGTAAGAAACCTTTAAATGGTCCCGGGAGCTGGGGGGAGAGGGCGGGGCACGGGGCGCCAGGCGTCCGGCCGTGACTCCG